GAGGCTGCGGTGGCCAGGAGCGGCCACTGCACTCCAGTCTGGGTGATAGAGTGAGACTCCAACTCAAAAAAAACCAACCAACCAACCAAACAAACAAACAAAAAACCAGAAGGACTAGTTGAGAGCAAGCATTATACTTTTCTATACTTTTTATGTTATCTTTAAAAATAGCCCTTTTGAGGCCGGGCTCAGTGACTCAGCCTGTAAATCCCAGCACTTTGGGAGGCTGAGGCGAGTGGATTGCTTGAGCTCGTGAGTTCGAGACCCACCCGGGCAACTTGGTGAGTCCTATCTCTACAATAAATCAAAAATTAGCCAGGCATGGTAGCACACGCCTATAGTTCCAGCTACTTGGAAGACTGAGGTGGAAGGATCGCTGGATCCCAGCAGGTCGAGGCTGCAGTGGCCGGGAATGTGTCACTGCACTCCAGTCTGGGCTACAGAATGAGACTCTAACTCAAATAATAATAATAATAGCCCTATTGAAATAATCTACATATAATGTGATACACCAATTTAATGTGCACAATTCAATGGTTTTAAGTATGTTTATAGAGTTGTGCAACCATCACTATGATCTTATTGCTATTATTCTCAAAAGAAACCCCATATCCATTAACAGTCACACCCCATCTTATCCCTCTTCCCTGCCCATCATCCCCTCACAATCTTAGGTAACCATTGGATCTACTGTCTTTCTCTAAAGAGTTGCCTCTTCTGGACAACTAATAAATGGAGCCATATATTATGTGGTGTTTTGTGAAAAACTTTTTAAATTTAGCATAGTGTTTTCAAGGTTCATTTACATTATATCATAAAAACCATGTATCAATACTTCCTTTTTATTGCTGAATAGCCCTGCATTGTATGGAGAAACCACTTTTTGTTTATCATACATCAGTTGTTGGACATTTGCACTCTCTCCACATTTGGGCTATTAAAAATAATGCTACTATGACCATTTTTATGCATCTTTGTATGTAGGTGTGTATGTTTTCTTTTTTCTTGGGTAGTATTGCTAGACTGTTTTTCAAAATGGCTGTACCATTTTACATTGTCATCAGTCATGTATGAGGGCTCCGTTTCCTCTACATTCCTGTGAACACTTGTAGATGTCTGTCTTTTGATTCTAGCCATTCTTGTGTGTATAAAGTGGTATCTCATTAAAGTTCTGATTTGCATTTTGCTGATGATTAATATTGTTGAGCATCTTTGCATGTGTTTACTGGCCATTTGTATATCATCCTTGGAGAAATGTCTATTCAAGTCTATGCCTATTTTTAAAAATTGGTTTGTTTGTCCTTTTGTTGTTGAGTCGCAAGCATTATTTATTTTGTATATTAGACACACATCAGAATACGATTTGAAAATATTTTCTCCAATTCCATAGGTTGTATTTTTACTTTCTTGATAGCTTCCTCTGATGCACAAAAGTTTTTAATTTTGCTGAAGCATAATTTATCTTTTTTTCTTTTGTTGCTTTCATGTTTGATGTCAAACATAATTTATTACCTATTCAAGATAATCAAGGCTTATCTCTATGTTTACTTTCAAGAGTTTTATCGCTTTAGCTCTTACATTTAGGTATTTGATTTATTTTGAGTTAATTTTGTATTGGTATGAAGTTTGAGGTCTAACTTCATACTTTTACATGTGGATATCCAATTGTCCAAGACTTTATTGTAAAGAATGTTTTTTCCCTATTAAATGGTAAGACCTCATTGACCATAGATTTATGGGTTTATTTGTCAACATTTGATTCTGTTTCATTGATATATACATCTCACTTTATGTCAGTACTATACTGTTTTGATTACTGTCACTTGTAGTAAGTTTTTAAATTGAGAATTATGAGTCATCCAAATTTTATTTTCTATTTCAAGATTGTTTTGCTATTTGGGTCCTCTTGCAATTTCATGTGAAATTTAGGATTTTAATAGGGATTGAACTAAATTAATAGAGATTGCTTTGGATAGGGTTGCTATCTTTACAATGATAAATCCACCCATCAATAAACATGAGAATGTTTTGCACTTATTTACCTCTTCTTTAATTCTTTTCATAAATGTTCTGTAGTTTTCAGGGTACAATTTAGAGTGCTCTTGAAAACTAGTGCATACATAGTCCATAAAACTACATAGTAATTCTGTCCATCTTTTGGGAAATATAAAATTGTAATCAAGTAGCTTTTCTGAAAATATGCTGTCTGTTCTCTTACTCTGTGGTTATGACATTTTTTATGACAAATACAAATACTTGAGTGTTCTTGTTAACTTTTTGGCATTATTACTCTTTGTATTTTTTCATTGTAGTCCAACATGAAGAAACAACATATATTGCAATTGCTTTGAAATCATCAATTCACCTTTATGCTTGGGCACCGAAGACTTTTGATGAAAGCACTGCTATTAAAGTGAGTGATTTACTTTCTCTTTGAATCATATGGTTTTCTCTTTTGAGAAGACATTGTAAACAAAACAGTATTTCGGGATACAGATGAAAAAATATATAACATTCTTCTACAGTTAATATAATTTGAATATATCATGTCAATAATTATTGCTTAACCCTTTTAGACAATTTAAAGACAAAACAGCAAGGGGGAATGTGAGGAAAATCCCTGATCTCTCCCCTTGCAAAAGCTCCTCATCAGCTCCTCACTCCCAATTCCTGTAGTCAACATGAAGACCTTCTCTTCTAGAGCCCCAAATTCAGGCTTTGGGTGCCACTCCCAATGACTTGAAGCTGACAAAAACCCCATTCTCTCTTAGTTAGGGGGTGGAGAGAAGAGGAAAGGTAAAGAAAGGCATAGCAATGGAAGATGGGGAAACTCTATTGGAAGAAGGAGGAAAGAGAAAACCTCAGTTGTAGTTATCATGGTCACAATAGATGGGGGTGGGAAGGAATGGGATGGGTCTATATTCCTTCCAAGTTGGAACTCTAAACACTTTTCTCTCTAGAAATATTGTGAAGCATGGTGGTTAGGCTTACTAGTACTCTTTCTACTTTTATTATGGTTGAACTGAATTTCTATGAATAAGCCATGAAGTTACCATAATGTAGCCATAAGAAGTTACCATAACATAACCACTTAGTGTCCCAAAAATTAAGCTACAGTTGATTTTCTTAAAATCACATTCTACAAATTGAGGACTGTTTTTTAATCTAGAGTAACTTACAATGCTCCAAAATTCCACTTAAATTGTACTATTTTGTATTTATTCCATAGTAATGAGAGTTTATTAATTAACTGACAGCAATCTATCAAGTCCAGTAGCTTCTAATCTGGCATGTACAACAGGATCAGCTGGAGCATTTGTTAAAAGTTTAGATCTCATACTCAACCCCAGACTGAATTAATGGGTCTGGAGTGGGGCTTGGGAATCTATTTTTTAAGCAAATGTTCCAGGTGATATTGAACTAGTTGGTCCATGGAAAGTTTGTTACAAAGCACTGATAGAAACACACCCCAATAGACCCCAGCAAGGTATTAATGAAATTCTTTTGTATCTTAGGTCATGATCTGTTTACATGGTGTATTTTGTAGGCCAAAACAGCACATGTATACAATAAAAATGGACTAATTCTTATAACTGCCTTTCTGTGTCTATTTGCACAATAACTCTGTCCTTTGATTAAAAAAAGCATAGACTACTATGTTTACAACCTGGATCGGACCTGACACAAATCATATCCCTGATCTGATCTTCTTAAATTGGGCAGTGTGTCAGCTGTCAGTATTTGGATATGGGTTTTTTTCTTGGGTGTCTACTGATTGGTCAGAGCTGCCTGGTAAGGAGCTGGAAAGAAAAGAGATAAATACCAACAGTCTGTCTAGCCTGATACACAGTTTCTGATCCAAGTTCTCACTTTAGTTCTTGAATACCACCTCATGACTACAGTATAGTAAATCCTGTGATCCTCAGTCCTCTACTGTGACCAGATCTTGGCAATGAATCCTGTTTGGCCTTTTGTTTCCTTGGTCTAGAAGCTGGAGGAGTCCAGAGTACACCCAGTCTATGGTAGGTTAACATGTCTGGCCCTTTTCATTCCCTACCAAGTATGTACTGATCAATCAGCAGACTCCGAAGGAGACTACATGTCCTATGAAGCCTATATACGAATACTGGCAAAAATACAGGCAGCTGATCCAGCAAACCGGTTTAAGAGACCAGATGAGCTCCTTCATTTGCTGAAGCTCAAGGCAAGGAACTTAAAGACAGCAAGCTGAGTGAAAGGCCATCACGGCTCTTATGATCATTGCCAATTTGACCTTTGAAAGGAAATTTAATATTTAGAATCTAAGCATATCTATTTCTTTGTTTAGTAACAGTCCAAAGAAAAGTTGTAATACACAGGTCTCTAAATACAATATGTCATTTAAAAATCTACCTGGGTTTTGTAAACTTGGCAAGGGAGTGAGAGAATTTTTGCCTTAGTTAGAATGTCATTTTTGGCCTTTTGGCCATATTTGATTTTATATCCACAGGTATTTCCAACACTTGGTCATAAGCCAGTGACAGTAGACCTAGCTATTGGTTCTGAAAAAAGACTAAAGGTTTTCTTCAGCTCGGCAGATGGCTATCACATTATTGATGCAGAATCCGAGGTTATGTCAGATGTGACCCTGCCAAATAACGTAAGATTATATGTTCAGATTTCTAGAAATTTTTGTATACTAATATTTGAGTTTTTCCAACTTTCAAAACTTTGAAAGTTTTAAAAAATATGAATAGTAACATCCATACCGGGACTGAGACCTAAAAGGTAAGTACAGAGTGCCAGAAAGTAGTCTTGCATAAACAAAAACTGCGGATTTCTTAGTCCAAACAGCTGAGTCTATACTGCAGATAGAATTTATTTATCTGGCACAGTGTTTTGTTGTTGTGGTTGTTTGTAATGAAAAAAAAAGTATATACTTGAAATCTGTACTTCTCTTGATAAACTCAAAGACCTGACATTAGGCCCACATTACTGTCTGGCCATTATCACATGGAAATTGATTTGTGTTTGCCTGCTTTTAGACAAGATATATGTCCTGCATTCTCTATCCATCCATCTTTATGTATTTAAAATCACTGACCCTAAGAGCCATTTAAGTTTGCAGCCCTTGCTTCAGTTCTTCTACACCACATAATGCATTAACTGTTAAAAGAAAAACACAATACCAGTATTGCAGCATTGCTATACCTATCCCTCTTCTTTATTATATTACTTTAACTGTGACATACAACAGATTATCCTAAGATGTTCTCTTTTCATATCATTACCATTGTTATTTCTGATCAAAGGATTTATCATTCTAAAAGCAAATGCTTCTCTATGCTTAACTCTTAATAATTATGTATAGTGAAAATATGGAGCAACATCTAAACTATGAATGGTTGTAAAAATACTATATACAACATTTATTATAAAGAGCTTGAACATGACATAATACTTCTCCCCACACCATACAAAATATAATTCTATCATGTCTCAAATTTGACAGTGGTAACGAGTTTTGTTTTATTTAATGTGGTATTTATTTATTTATTTTTAATTTTTCTATTTTAAAGAAGTGGGGTGCATTTTAGGGTTAGGTATACAAATATTCATTATGCAGGTACCCTTGTTGATGAGGTATACCCCCCTTCTCCTGGCAGCTTCTCACTACAGTCAATCTCATACCCCCTTCCTGAGCAGTTTCCCATGACTGCCAATCCCCTTCTTATAGTATTATAATTGTTCAAGGTCCACTTATGTGTGAGAATATGTGGTACTCAGTTCTTTGTTTCTGTTTCTGTTTTGTCCTATTGAATATTGTATGTGGAAGAAAAGTCCGAACCAACACTTCTCTGCTTTACCCATTTTTGATTTCCAGTTTGTAGACAACTAAAATTGTAGCAATTTGGCATCATCCAAAAAGTCCAGAATTAAACTTTTATCTACCCTCAAATTTCTGTAGTTTCATCATATTTTTGACAGCTTTCAGAATTATCTCTAACAAATTACACAAATCTATTGTCAGTACATTAGTGGAGACATTTTTAAAAATTCTGTTAATCATATTAACAATCATTAGCTGAACATTCATTGTCCATGAACATTTAGAAATCATTGTGTTGATAATGTGGAAAACACTGAACAAGTCTCGGCCAAAGCCACTCATATGTGAGGTCAGTTTAATTTTGATATAGATATTGTAGTACTGTTCAGTTAGTGTGTTTAACTTAGCTTCCTGCATTTTAATATTTTCAAAATTTTGACCTGGTGCTGTAACTCACGCCTGTAATCCCAACACTTTGGGAGGCAGAGGCAAGAGGATTGCCTGAGTTCAAGGTCCAAGACCAGCCTGGACAACATGGTAAGACCTCGTCTCTACAATAAATACAAAAGTGTAGCCAGGCATGGTGGCACACTCCTGTAGTTCCAGCTACTTTGAAGGCTGAGGCAGAAGGATCTCCTGAGTCCAGCAGGTAGAGGCTGCAGTGGTCATGAGCATGCCACTGCACTAAAGCCTGGGCAACAGAGTAAGACTCGAACTCAAAAATAAAATAGAATAAATTTTTGCATCATATAGCCTTTATTTAGAAGCTAGTGCAGTATAGAATTTGGAAGTATTGGCCCAAAGTTATACTTATTTGAAAAGTCATCCAAGAAGGTTGAATCCAGTGTTCCATATGATTAATAAGCAAGGAAAATAATTTCCTTTTGAAGCAATTCGTTAATTACTATAGAAACTAACATGAGAGAAGATAAGTTTTTAAAAAATACTTCCTGACCTAATTTGGATAGCTTATGTATATGCAAACATATTTTTAGCTAACTTCTCTAGTGTCTTGACCCATTATTAGATAAAGGACTCTAATATCAGAGAGGAGAGGGTGTCTTCTGAAAAAGAATGTACTAAAAATAATATTTTTCCAAGAGTGCTAGATTACAAAAGCTGTACTGCTACAAGAGAACCATGCTAAAGAATATCTGGTTACTTTAGGAATTATCTGAGAAGCAAGAGAATCACCTCTGAGGCTGTGTGGTTTTGCAGCAGTCCGGTTTTATTCTAAACAGATTTTATTGAGAAACTCTTTCTTGCGATTTATTGTGCTCTCCTCCTTCATCTTTTTTCTGATTTGATTGCTCATGCAAGTGCCCAGGGAACGCATTAAAATTGCTTTTCGCCTCTGGATCCCTATTTTAGTTTTAAGGATTGTTGTTGCTGAGACATGGCCTCAAGCACTTGGCCTGAGTACGCTGGGTTTGGCAAGTATAGTTTCTGACTTTTTTTTATTTTAAATTTTTTTTGTAACTTGCTAATTTTGAGAAACAATGGAGAAATACAGTTTTCCATTGCAGGAAAATACTGTTAATGTGACAATATCTGTTGTTTAAGCAAACTTTGTCACATTGCTTTATGCATCATAAAATTAAGAAATGCTTAGATATTTCGTAGTGTTTCATATTATGTCTCTTAATAAGTCTGAACTTGTGTAGTAAATGTACTTTTAATTCTATTAATTGGATAAGAAATTCTACCTTTTTTTGCAATTGGGAATGACTGTGAAATATTTAAAGACATAAAGGATTTTATAAAGCTGTCCCTTGTAAGCATTTTAAGCTCAAGCAATTCTTAGGCTAATTTTATATTTCTGATGTGAATGAATTGGATGATAACCAAAAATTGTGTATTTGTTCTTTGGCTTGACCATTCATTACTAAAGTATTTGTTAATGTGCTGAAATAAATAGTAAATCCAAGTCTATAATAAGTAATGTTTTTTCTATCACTATGCATAATTATTTGTGAAATTTCTGTTTGGGAAATATATCTGTTTTTATCAAACAAATATTTCTCTTAAATATAAAGAATATTAAACAGTGACTTTATGACTAAAGAAAGCAGCTCTTTTCAAGTGCTGGATAACATACTTATTAATTTGAAAATAGAGGTTTCTGTTCCTCTCTCTTCTGGTCTTTATTGTTCAGCCAAGCTGCTTCAATTAAAGTAGTAGTGATAAAATATTGGACGTATAAATCTGTATGAAACGTAATTCCAGCCCCTGGAAATCATTATACCACAGAATATCATCATTTTACCTGATTGCTTGGGAATTGGCATGATGCTCACCTTCAATGCTGAAGCCCTCTCTATAGAAGCAAATGAACAACTCTTCAAGAAGATCCTTGAAGTATGGAAAGACATACCATCTTCTGTAGGTATGTATAAAACTTTTCACTCCTTTAAATAACCTCAGAGAAGATTTTCAAGGGCAAAAAAAAGTGTGTGCTCAAAAAAGTTTCTTGGATTACTGCATTTTCTTAAGGCACATGGGGGTACTGCATATTTATATATTCTTAGTAAGATGATGCTTGTGTTTGTCCTATGCTTAATGAATTTATAAGAGTACCACAAAGAGACTCATTTTGGTTATCTGAGTTGTTTATTTACAATAATATATTATTGAAACAGGAGCTAATTCCCTTCCACAATAATTTATAATTTTGTTTCAACTCCCTTTGCTTGCAGACTTTACACAGATGTTGAAAATGCTTCTTTTCATCACATTGATTTTGAGGGTTTACCGTTATCTTAGGAGATTGCCAAATAGTAAAAAGAAGAGCAAAATATTTCTATTTTGTATAGTCAATAGTGTTCTGTTTTGCGAGTGATATTCCTTTGAAGAATCAAGTCATTTAGAAAAGACATAGAAATGACTGACTGTAATGCCCATTAGGTATCACTCAGATGGCAACAAAGAAAACTGCCTTCTCATCTTCATCAAACCAGAACATTTTTTCCTTCCTAATCAATGCAGAATCACTGGGCTTGGAAATATGAATAATTTGAGATTCTTGTGTACGTTTTTGAGGTTTGGTGACTACAGAGATGACTCTAGATAGGGAATGGAATGAATAAGAAAGATAAAAATATCAGGAAGGGTAGAATTATTAGGTGAAGGACAACTAGTCCTGAAAGGAGGAGAAGTTCAGTGGAGCAAATAAAGTAGAAAGGCAGAAGAGTGTGTGTGTGTGTGTGTGTGTGTGTGTGTGTGTGTGTGTGTGTGTGAAAGAGACAGAGACAGAAAGAGAGACAGAGAGATTTTGTCAAGGGAGAGAAATCAGAAGTCTCTGAAATCTCTATAAAATGACTAAATGTGACCCTCATGTGGCTTTAAGGACCAGTTTGAAAGACCCACTTTTTAATGAACATTTTTTTTTCATGTGAGATGGTGGCACTTTGCACTGCATCTGCAGAATCCTTTTTTTTTTTTTTTTTTTTTTTTGCATACATAGTCAGTGTTAAGGATTGTCCTGAAAACCTGCTCCAATTTCTTCAAACAGGTAAGAACTCAGAGAGTTTAAAACCATTTTATGTGACAGAAGGTAAATGCTTACACTATAATTGACATATCTGGGGCAAATGAAAGTAAAAATGATGAATCATGTTCTAGCCTTTACAGTGGTACTTTTGTCATTGATATGCTAATCAGAAATGGGAATTTTAAAAATTCAGTTCAGATGGGAAACTGAACAACCTCTTATATTTTTACCACTAGACAATCATAAGAGTAAAAGGGATCTTCAAAATTCGTCTGGTACAGCTCTTGTCCTTAGGCAAGACAACTTCTGATCTAAAACAAAAGGTTATTTTAAATTGTTAGAATTGAAAGACATCTGTGTGTAAAATAAATTATAGCACTATAAGGATATTATATTTTTGTGTATTAAGGATATATTGAATGTATACTAAAGACAGTATAACACTGTTATTAAGGGAATCAATTACTCTATTTTTGTTTAAAAACAACTGCTTTGTTATTTAAAACTATCCAAGATCCAGATTTCTCCAATCTAAATTTTACATTTCTTTGAGCTATATTAAATGTCTTCAATAATAAGATCATTTTTCTACATTTCCAAACAAATATTTAGAGGCGTTACAATTACAGCAAGTATTGCTAAGTGGCCTCACTTCCAAATCATTGGATCCCATTTCAGAAAGCAAGCTAGCTCAGTAGCTAGGTTAAGTGGCAGATTTATGTATTTCAGGTCTAAGGTGGAAATTATGTGGTGCCATATGAACTTTGTACTTGGATTCAGAAAATAACCTGTCCTTTAAGTCTAGGAAATTCTGCTCTGTGTGGTTGTCGACAGGAATATCATTTTTAATAAAGTAATCATATAGGTGGAAAAATTCAAATCTCGATATACTATATCTATTACTTGTTTCCATTTCTCAGGCCACTGATTCTCCTTATTCCCCTAATATCCGGGGTGATTTTATTTATAGTCTGAAATTGGATTTATAAAGTCTTCTGGGACAGCTGTTTTCTGACTCAAAATATAATTGCAATTTTGATGTTGGTTTCATAGACATAAATACATAAATATTTTGAATTGGAATGTAAAAGGTAGTAGGAGATAAGAAATGATTGGGGAGTTTTAGTTCAAAGATTCCAAATGGCTCACACTATACCTATGAAAAATAACTTCTATAAATGTTAATAATTTCTTCATGAATCCATTTATGTATACTTACTGTATACATATAAAGGCCAGGTAAATTTCGGTTTAAACAAAGAAATCCTAGAACCTTTAAGAAAGATAAGGAAAAAATTTTTAAATTGATGCTATAATTATACCAATGAAGAGTTTGTTCCCTTTATAGTAGAAAAAAATGAAAGTAATTAATTGAATTCTGATTATAATCATGTTAATATGAGAATGAAGATGCCTTCTTTCATTGTTTTCTAGACTATCTTAGCTTGAGTTAAAATTTTGATGTAATTTTAAAGGTCAGGTTTTTATTTATTTATGAGATTTCCCCCCCATAAAGTACATAGAGACTATCAACTTGGAAGTTAAACGTTTAATGGTAATGCTGTTCCCTATGCCAGAAAATACCTTACAGCACCAGCTGACTGGCTATTTGCATAATTAGCTTTAAAGCAATTATTGTCATAATCTATATTGTCACAAAGTGCTATAAACAAGACCAAAAAGTTAAAATCTTCATACAAATTTCCTGGACTGAAGACTGTCTTAACAGTATTAAATTAGCTTGAGTTCTGCTTATCACATGATAGTTTATTGAATTGCATTAGGGTTGTTACACTCATTATTTGAGCAAGTCATTTTTTAACAGTTTTAATTTTAAAGAGTCAGGTTTTTATATATGTCACTTGAGCACAAATACAAACCTTTAATGGGAACCCTTATTAGGGACACTGTACTTCACTTAGACTATAAAATAATGACTGTGGATAGATTTGTATTTCTACAAATGAGGTAGAATTAACCCCAATCTTTTTCTGTGATTTTAGAGGATATGAATACAAAAATTAACTGAGATCTAGTAATTCAGTGTTGGTCACAATGATGTCATTAGTTAACTGGCTTGAACACTATTCTTGAGCAGCAAAGTGGCCAAATAACAGCACAGGAGGAACAAACAGGATGTGTTGACTTGAATTGTAATAATAAGTTTCTTAATAATCAAATATTTAACTGGGGTCATAAATTTCTATGACTACTGGAAGGATTTTATATTTTTCTGATTTTTCCATTTGTATTGTAGCTTTTGAGTGTACACAGAGAACCACAGGATGGGACCAAAAGGCCATTGAAGTGCGCTCTTTGCAATCAAGGGTTCTGGAAAGTGAGCTGAAGCGCAGGTCAATTAAGAAGCTGAGATTTCTGTGTACCCGAGGTGACAAGGTATAGTTTACACCCTCCAGTTAAAACAAAAATAAAGCAATCATTGAAAATATGCCAACTAAATAAATTTATGTCCTTTTATTTCTGGCCATAAATATATTTGTGCTATGTTTTTAAGTTGGCATGCTATTGATAAAAACAATTTTACATTTCACAGTAGAAAGTGTTGAAATTTGGTTAAAACACATTTTGAAAAAAGAGTTAAAATTCTAGTTATGTCTTAAGCAGAGCTTAGCCATTATTTTGTTTGATTTAAAATCCTTTATTGTCTGTTCCATGGTCTTTTTCATGTTCATATTAAAATGTTATTTTTAGCCCGGGAATGGTGGCTCATGGATGTAATTTCAGCATTTTGGGAGGCTGAGGCGGGAAGATCTCTTGAGACAAGGAGTTTGAGAGCAGCGTGGGCAACATAGTGAAACCCTGTCTCTACACAAATAAAAAAAAATTAGCCTGGCATGATGGTGCACACCTGAAGTCCTGGCTACTTTAGAGGCTGAAGCAGAAGGATCACTTAAGCCCAGGAGTTTGATTCTGCAGTGAGCCAAGATTGTGCCACTGGACTTTAACCTGGGTGACAAAGAGTGAGACCCTGTCTCAAAAAAAATGTAAAAGTAAAAAAAATTTAATAAAATACATGAGCAAATCTGATTTTTAAAACTTTTGACATAATCCAGTAACAGAAGAAGGAAAACACACTTATGCTGCTGATCCCCTAACTACATAGTAGGCCTTGTGCTAGATACTTTAAAACAGTTATCTCAATTTGTATTCACAAGTGGGTATTATGATGTCTATCTTGCAGAAAAGAAACACAAAATCAAGATTTGCTAGTGATTTATATAATTTGATACATTTTAACAACTAATTCAAATAGTTTAGATGGAAAATTTTGCTATGTCAAATCATTGCTATTCCTGTATATTATGAAAAGTAATACTGTGAAGAAATAATCCTAATACGATTGGGAAGTATTCACGTTAAGAGATTGCTGAGAGCCGGGCTCGGTGGCTCAGCCTGTAATCCCGCGCCTTTGGGAGGCTGAGGTGAGTGGATTGCCTGAGCCTGTGGGTTTGAGACCCGCCTGGGCAGCGAGACCTCATCTCTACAATAAATCAAAAAATCAGCTGGGCGTGGTAGCGCGTGCCTGTAATTCCAGCTACTTGGAAGGCTGAGGCGGAAGGATTGCCGGAACCCAGCAGGTCGAGGCTGCGGTGGCCGGGAGCGGCCACTGCACGCCAGTCTGGGCGACAGAGTGAGACTCCAACTCAAAAAAAAAAAAAAAAGAAAAAGAAATTGCTGAGGATTAGAGTTAGTATTCAGAACAACCAGAGTAAAACTGTATGTTAGACAGGTATCAATTTGCAGTGAAGAGATACAATGGTAAGACTCTGTGTTTGATGTCAGAGAGACCTAAAAATACAATCCTGGCTCTACCACCCAATTAGGGTTAAGTCCCTGACAAGATTTTATTGATAGTTTCTTTATCTCCAAAATGGAAATATTAATAACTGCTTTGAGAAAATTGTGAAAATTAGTGACAATGTATGTATAGTAAGCATCTCACACATTGCTTGACAATCAAATATGTCTAATTAAATATGTTAAGGCAAGAGTAGCTAACATATCTTTACTTTTTTAAAATTTACAGTTTTGTCTCTTTATTTTAAGGTAAAGTTTACTGAATATGATATTTAAAATACCGTTTTAATATATACTTAAATGCCTGCATTCCCCCACACTGTAGGGCCACAGTGAAAGTCTATAAAGGTTTATAAAGATTTTTATTTAGTTGACTATAAAGCTGATCTTAGATGAATCAAGCAGAGGTCATTTTAAATTTTACTTAATGTGTTATAATCATATATTTATTTTTCTTAAATGATTCCTTCTCTTGTTGAGTATTAACTTATACAGTTATGATTCTTACCTTTGTCTAATGATATTAAATATATCTAATACTTAAGTTTTAATAATTTTAAATATTTTCTTTTATCAGACGGCATTATCCCTATCTCCCTTTATCATAGCTATCATGTCTTATCATCATTATTATGTCAAAAACTTTTCCAAGACTAGCCATTGTGGATGTCAAAAGCCTTAGTCCTAGCAAGGACTTTGTTGGATATTTATGTGCATGTTCTGTTCTAATTTTATTTGTGGTACAACCCATATTTACACAACATGCTCTTCACTAAGCTATTGAGTTTAACTCATTTTATCAATCTGTTGATATCTATCCATTTCTGAAATAGAAAATTGCATGAGTGAATGTTAAGTGTTTTCACCACAAAATTGATAACTATGTGAGGTAATGCATTTGTTAATTAGTTAGATTCCACAAGGTATACAGAATTCAAAACATCATGTTTTACATGCTAAATACAAACAGTATTATCTGCCAGCTACATTTTAAAAATAATTTAATAATGAAAAAGGGAAAAAAAGAAAGAAAATTGCATCAAGTAGGAAATTTCAATGACTTCTTAAACAGAGGTGGCAATAATAAACACTATCTAAATAATTTAATTTTTTCTTTATATGAAAAGAAGAGCCAACTTGAATAAAAGTCAACTTTGTTTTAAAAAGCAAAGAATCATAACCAAAACTAATCAAGAACTGCAGCATATGAAGACCACCTAAAAAAACTAATTTTATTTAAATCATACAAATTATTATTATATAAAATACGGTAAAATATTGTTTTAAAATAAATAATTTAACTGATTTAAAATCTCATTATTAAATTTGAAGAAAACCTGTTCCAAAACACAGTGTGGCTTAATATTTTAATTAGCAGATGCAGATAAATTGAGCTTATAGTTATATCAAATATCTGGTTACAATGTATTAAATGTCTACTGATGGTGTTTTTCTTTCTTTTTAAAGCTGTTCTTTACCTCTACCCTGCGCAATCGCCACAGTCGGGTTTACTTTATGACCCTTGGAAAACTTGAAGAGCTTCAAAGCAATTATGGTATCTGAAAAATTCCAGTGATCTGCTACAACATTTACAGATATCACATATATTCAATGTGCATTTTCAGATTTCTGAGATTAAATGAGCTTTCAGTTTTACTTTTAGCAAAAATTTAAATCAGAAACTTAACTTTTAATGTAGCACAGAGATAGTTTTAATAAGAAATGCAGCTTTATATATAAAATTAACTTAGCAAGCTCTATGTACTCCAGTGGTGTACAATATCTTTTGCACAAACTTTGTAACTTTTGTTACTGTGAATTCAAACATTACTCTTTGGACAGTTTGGACAGTATCTGTATTCAGATTTTACAACACGGAGTAAAGAAACCTTTGTGAATTAAATTACAAGCAGCTTTCAAAGCAATTACCCCTGGATAAAATTTTTCAGAAAAAGAAAAACATCAACAAATGATATGTGATTTTTCCAAAGTCATATAAAAAACCAAAGGTGAGATCATGAAAGGAAAATCTTAGGGACTATGTTATAACCCAGACAAAGTTTGAACAACCTGCATGCCCGGAGAAAACTATGATGATAAAGAGAAAAACACGACCCATTTCCTCACTGCTTCATGACAAACTCACAATTAAAGACCAGTTGTGTTCTTTTCAATCCATGTTAAGCTCGTTTTCTCTCAATAAGAAGGAAGGAAGAAAGCCTCAGATGTTTAGTTTTCCTCACAACCCCATAGATGTGCAATAACTGCTTTTTACAAACCACCGAATAACACACTTGCTAAACCTGAATACAGGACTGGACTCCTATACACATGTACTGTAGAATGAGAGGTTTTGTTTTTGTTTTTGTTTTTGTTTTGCTTTGTTTTGTTTCTTACTTTAAAGTAGGCGTCAAATTCTATCCCCAAAAGCAGATTGGCTGATTTCTCAAAATTATTATCTGGCCAACAGTGTAACCATCAGACAGCATCAAATATTTGCCCCATCTCAGATTAAAGTGTATAAAAATTACCCTCCAGTTATTAAGCAAAAACAATGAAACATAGCAACAAAAAAAGTTGACTGCTAGCACCTGTGTTTTTCATATTTCCATTTTTGTAAAATCAGAAGTTAATAAATATTTCTGTGCTAAGTCTATATATAAGACTTAATGTTATAGGTAAAAACATGAAAAGATTCTGCAAAATATACATTCATCATATATCTAAGTCTGCAAAATTAGAGTCTTGCTGGACCATCACCCAAATATGTTATAGACGCCATAGATAGGTGACGCTTGGTCACCTATGGTTACTGCTACCTGATGAAAAGCATAAGTTTTGCATATCCATCCTCAATACCATGGTTAGTTCTGGGCCAATAGAGAAGCAACAGAACTACCAAAAAGTATACCTCAATATAATTTCTCTAGTTCTTCTTCTAAAACCTGAAGACAGTGCTAGTGGGATAATAATTTTCAAACTACCTGGTTAACCAAAATACAAAAGCAGCTGACTATGTGTGATTTCATGATAGCACATCATTTCTTAGCACATGGTGCCAGAAATGAAGATTTGGATTTTCCTAACAACTTATATCAAGAGTGTACTAGCTCAATATTGAGAATTTAGGAAAGCCTGAATCCGTGAATTAAAGAAGTAAATGTGATTCACATTTCTGTTACTGTGACACAATAATGTGATCCTAAAACTGGCTTATCCTTGAGTGTTTACAACTCAAATGACTTTTTAAATGCAGTAGTTTTTTTTAAAAATTAAACTTTTATGTCAAATTATTTCCTAAGAAGTAGTCTTCATTATTATAAATGTGTCGTACACCAAAAGGTCATGGGGAACTTTGTGCAAGTACCTCATCGCTGAGCAAATGGAGCTTGCTATGTTTGAATTTCAGAAATTGTTCTCATTTAAGTAGTGTGTAGCATCAAGTCTTTTAAGAATTCATGTTTTTCTTCATAATATTTACTCAAAATTAAGCTTCAAAATTAGTTTTATCTTAAAATCATATTTTAAAGACAGTAAACTATTTTAGGAGGTCAACTCCCATTGGGCTTTGTGGCAGTTATTCCAGTAAACACAGGCAATAGTGAACTAAATCTACAAAGATGCCCCAAAGTAGCCAATCATGCAAGAGAGATTGTAAATGAGGAAGTCAGCTTTAAAGCATAAGGTGTTAAGAAAGAAAGAAAGCTGGGCACATATGAAGAAGGGAGATTGAAAGTTTGGGTACTCCAATATAAAAGACTGAAATTATTTAAAGTGGCTCATAAATAATGAAGATTCCAGGTTTACATGTACATCTATCTAGAATATTTACATCCTTTGCTAGCTGAACAAGAAAGTGAAGGGACAATGAAATTTTCATAGTCGGTGTACACTGTAATAGAATGAATTATATCTACACTTTGCATTTTAGCAGCAGTAGTTGTAAGCATACCACCATTACAGAAGTGTGGAGGGGGTCTCTTGAGTAGTCAATTTCCCTAGTCCTGTGAATTGAAGCTTGAAAGTTCTGGAAGGTCATGAGCATAATTGGAGATAGAGTATGGTTGTATTTTGGTGTGATTTAGTTTTTATTTACCAAAGCCTTTATCCAAAATAATAGGCATGATTGGAAACATTTAAAAACTAGAAAATAAGGGATTAAAGAGTTGTTAATAAAATTTGAGTGATTAAGTCAGTTGAAGAAAGGTAAGATTCTCAGAGGAAACAGTAAGAAGGGTAATTCTGAAGGCAGTAAAAAAGCACAACCACACATGTACACACACATACACATACAATCATTGGAATGCACAGATTTTAATATTTTCAATACTATCAGTTTCTAGATAAATTAATTACTGTTTTATGCCAAGATTCATTTAGTTGAGACAATATCTATAAAACTAGGAATAATGCCACATGCATTCAATGGGATATTTTAAGTACTTTTCAATTTGTTTTGAGAATTGTGCCTACTTAAATCAATTTTTATTCAGTCTGTACTTTAAAAAATATTGGAACAATCTTTGAGACTGCTAATTGTTTCATCAGAAAGTCTGCAATGAATCATTGTTCAACTCTAAAAATAAATTTTTTAAAACTTTTGGTTGATGTCATTATTGAAAAATACTTGTATAATGCCTTGGAATTAGGACTCATTCAAGTAATAATAATTTATTTAAAGTTTGTAATAATGCATTGATTGAAATATGTTAGAGGTTCTGCTTGTTATTGCATTAGTAATTATAGCTAAAGAGGAATATATTAATCTAAAGTTTTTAAATAACTTTTTGGTTGCAGTGGTAAAATTAAAAACTGATTATTTTTTCTTTAGATGTGTGGGACTTTAAACATAGGCAAAGATCACATGGTATGGGTTAAACCCAAGTAAGTTTTAATGCTGCCTTTCTTTCCATCCTACCCTAGTAGCTTCAAGCCCAGACAAAAGGAAAGCAGAGGAGCCCTAGCCACAGAGAGGAGTAAATATTTCTAGTTTCTTGCAATGAAGAAAGGGTTTAGTACAGGCTGATGGTGGAAAACAAGAAGGAATAATCATGGCAGGTTGTCAAGGAAGCTGAGTCCTTCCTTTGAGACCAGAGCAACACTTTCCTCTGTAGATCTCTACAGTGAAGCATTAGAGGCATGGTTGCATGCACATCCTGTCAGCTCAGGACATTCTGGAGAGATGTCCATCAGGCTTTCCCATTAGTGCCTGCTGACTGTCATCGTAAATTCTCAAGTTCAGGCTTTTAAAGACTGAATTAATATGCTTCAATTATAGTCAAATTATTTTATTCAACTTTATTGTAGGGCCCACTGACTTCAACTACTTTAAGAGGCAATGTTATGATTCAAGGTATAAAAGCATCATCACTAATTAGAATTAGATTGGACAGAATGAGAGAGGGAATTATCCTGGTGACCCTTTACCAAGGCATGAGGGTAGGATAGGTCATGTGTAGAAGTCATTAGTCATTAGCTATTAGTAACTTTATCACTCACAATAGGTGCAGTGCAATTTATGCACTTCAATGCTGCAAATCTATTGACTGAATCTTTTTCAAACACTAATTGCTATCCAATTTAACAACATATTTTAAAATTTTTTTATGGAGACTTTCTTCGTGATTTAAGGATACTCAAGTTCTTAAAGGTAACAAACCCATTGAGTGTGGTTACTTTTGGGTTCCCAAAACTGAATGGTGGCAGCTAATTAATTAAGGTCAAATATGTTTTTTCATAAAGCGCTGTCACATGTCACGTTTTATGTTGTTTACAATTTTGTCAATTAATTCAAAAGAAATAGTTCCAGAGAAAGTAAAATGATGTTTTTCTATGGATTTATGTTTTCAGAAGCCACAAAGCCTACTTTGTAGATGAGCACAAAATAAGATTTGGAATTAATTATTTCTTATAGCTTTGTCATCCTATATGTCAAACTGCCTCGTTTGGTTTTTAACATATAGAATGAGTAGAATGGGATAATTACGCCTTTTTTTTGCCTGGATTATCCTTGGTGCTATTTTATTTATAACTGTTGACATTCACAAAATATTTCAGCCCACAAACTTGAAATCAAACAAAGGATAGGTCAATATGTATGAAAGTAGCCTCTTACTAAATGTTATTTGTTTACTTTTTAAAACAATACATAAGGGATAATATGACCCTTTAGTAATTACCCAAGGCTCATGAGCAATGATAATTTTTTAAATTAAACTTGCTGCTTTATGCAAACATTTGGTTTGAATGTGATTTTTTTCCCCACAAGATTAACTCTTTATGTTGTGGCATCCTGAGACATACTGAAGGGTCCTTAAAGTTTGTCAATATAATTTCTCGTCAAAAATGTTAAATTATGTTCTCATAAGCAAATAGATTCCAAGTATTCCCTAAAGGCACATTTTTAGCAGATGAGTCTGTCTGATATGTGAACTTGTAGCCACTAAAATGCATACTGAATGGGACCACCTATCCAAAAGTCTAAATAGAAGCATGTAACACCATAAAGTTGAGTCTCACAAGTTGAGATAGTTGGAAATAAATAAAATAAAATAAATAATAAAAATAAAAGTTCAAAGCAATTGAATTACATCTAAATGAAAAGCTTCTCTTCATAAGTAAAATTAAAATTATATGTCAAACTGGAAAAATGTGGGTTTAATTTGGTATTATGAAAAATATTTATGAGTTTTACTCCCACAAACTTGAATATACAAAACTCAAACAAAAACAGTTATCTGCACTCCAACTCCCATATTGCTAGTCTAGGTGAAAGTTTAACTTTAATCATGAATTGGGCTTCCTCATTCCTTCACTAGGATTATAAAAATGTCCCAGGTATCTTTTATAGATCAGAAAATTTAAGGATGCCCTATGGGCCTATAGTTTACACTAGTTCACATTGATACATTTATTGCTTACTTAGTTTCTTGCAGTGGCTCCAGGCCTTTGAGGTGTGTGTGTGTGGTCATGGAAGTCTTTGTGAAGGCATAGAGTTCAAATACCTAGGGTATTTACTGCAGTCTCACTACCTCCATGGGTGCTGAGTGGGCATGGATCTATGCTACTTTGAAAATAGCAGTTCCTTCTATCCTTTCTCATTCCTGGTGAATCTCCCTCTCTCCCCCTAAGCTTTTGTATTTCTGTCCCCATCCCAACCAATATTAAAATGCACTTACTTCCTTTTTACCTTTTGAGAATAATCTGATATAATTGTGCTAAAAAAAATCCAGTAAGAGGGTTTTTTCAGACAATTTTTGCTTTTGTATAACCTCTCTACTCACCTAAGAAAAAGGAA